TTTTAAAACGCTTTATGATTCCTGCGATGTCATCAGGTGTTATATCGCACAATTAAGGGCTGATAAGGAATATGAAGACTATAGGAAGAAAAATATGGAGAGAAGAATGAGGCGGTTTGATGAAGTTATGTTTGAAAAATTTCAAAATGATAAAAAAAATGATGACTAATTTTTTTTTGTATTACTTTATAGAAAAATAGAGAGATCACAAAATCGGTAACTGTAAATATAAAATAATTAATAATTTAATTTAGAACTTAAAGTAATAATTTAATGGAAAAAATTAAAATTGAAAAATAAATAATATACAAAATTTTATTGAATTTTTTTTCTGTTTTAAGGATTCATCTTCCTTTTCAAAGTTATATCTAATTCAGTTTCCAACAATGATAAAGATCCACCTGTTATATGATGTGTTATGCTAAACATATAATTTTTAATTCAATAATTACTTAAAATTAACAACTTACACCTAAATTTCCTAATGAAGGTTCCGAAACATACCCATGCCCCTCCATATCAGAACATTTATACAGGCTGTCCCAAAATAACGTGTACAACGCAAGACCACAAGTACCTTAACCAAAAATATAATGATTTAACGCAACTTATCTATATACAAAATTTCGTAGTTTTTTGCAACCAATAATAACTCGTTTTTAATAATATACAGGCTGTACAAAAAGTATAGAAAAAGTATGGAATAATGGTTCTACAGCATAAACTTCAACTTATATAAAAAAAAGTTTTAAACAAAAGTTACTTGAAACTATTTTCCGCATATCTTGGTGTAGAAATAAAATAAAAATAATGACGGCAGTCTGAGTTACCACATGGTGAGTGTGTTTTTTAAATGGAACATCCTGTATATTTTAAGGTTTTTGGATTCCTTTTGACAAGGTGTTACAAAATGCCATAAGGTTTCAATGCTTTAAACTGCATAGTTTTCGAGATATTGAAACTTTTATTTAAAAAGATTTGACATAGCGTCATAGAAATGGGCGGAGCTTATACCGACTCCAAACATCACCGGTAAATCATCATATGCAATTTTTCATTAGTGTTTAAATAAAATAAACTAAGTGACTTAGGCAGTCTGTTATGGTGCCATTATGGAATAGACAACCTAAGCCTGGACGTCACAGGGATGGGTGGAGCTTATACCGACTCCAAACAATTTCGTTGCTGACGATAAATCGTCAAAAAATGTCATTTGAAATGTCATCACTTAGTTTATTTTATTTTACCTCTAATGAAAAATTGCATATGGTGATTTACCGTTAGCAACACAGTTAGCAACGAAAATGTTTGGAATCGGTATAAGTTCCGCCCAGCTCTGTGACGTCAAGGCTTAGGTTGTCTATTGTTTGGAGTCGGTATAAGCTCCGCCCACCTCAAAATAGTTTCAAGTTACATTTATTTAAAACTTTTTTTAATATAAGTTGAAGTTTAGGCTGTAGAACCATTATTCCATACTTTTTGTACACCCTGTATATTTAGTTTAGTAAAACTCGTTTCATATGACAAATTTTGATTCTTTTACGAACACGCGATTTTTGTGGAGACAAAATAATGGCTGAGAAATCAGAGAAGAGGAGTTCTTTATTAAAAGCAGGTACTATAATTTAGATTTTTAGTCTGAATGGGCGCATTTACATTATTAGTTTACCACCGACCATTCACGATTAAAAACCGATACGTTCCGTACGGCAAATATCGTTGTGTCTGAAACAGGTCTAAGGGATTAACAATCGATTGAAAAGAATGAATCCATCAATTTCTTAGATCTTACTCTGAAAAAAGTTGGAAATAAGATTGAATACAACATATACAGGAAACCTACTCAATCAGATACAGTAATACCTGCAGACTCCTTTCACCACCATGTACACAAACATGCTGCCTTCAACTCATATATACATCGCATACAAGAAATACCATTGACAGACAACTACAAAAACCAAGAAATACAAATAATTAAGAACATCGCACATAACAATAATTTTCCACTTCAATTCATAGATCTACTTACTAAACATACAAAAATACAAATAAACTCTGACATAAGTAAAATTTTATTACCTGAAAATAAAGAAAATAACGAATCCATCCTATACAGATCCGTAAATTACCCTGGTAACCTTGCAATAGACATACAAAGAATTTTCAAAAGATACAACATAAAGATCACCTTCAAAACAAACTCAACTCTATTACAAATGCTAAATAACGCAAAAGACCAGATTGATCCACTATCTAAAAGCGGCGTTTACTCACTCCAATGCGACACCTGCAGAGCAAGATACATTGGTGAAACAGGAAGGAACATCAGACGAGTTAAAGAACATAAACAAAACGGAAACTCAAATTTCGGAAGACACTTTCTTACAAACGATCACACCTTTGATGAAACTAAAAATATAAAACTCCTCCATCAACATAACAAAGGCTTCAAACTCACCCTACTTGAAGCATATGAAATCGACAAAATCCGAAACACATATCCAAACACCGAAAATTTAAACGACCAGGTGCAACTACAAAAAATCTCCCTGTACAGGTTCCTATCAAACCCATACAACATTAAATCTAAACCACCGGAAAATACATTTAACTAAATTTCTTATCCCCTAAACCCTCTACCTTTTATATACATGAGGAATACAATCCAACTAGTTCCCATATCCCAATCATTTCCATAACACTATTCTATAAATAAATTCCATTTTATTTTGAACCATATTAACCCAGTCTATTAACAGATTTCAACACATGCGCTCTTGACAAAACGACACATTCACCTGTGGAACATGATTATGTTCCACCCGACATTATATGTTTCACTTGACACATCTGCTACATCCCCATTCTCATTTTCTAAGTTTAGGTAATACAATAATTGTTAAAACTTTCGATATACATCTGTTTCAATACATCATTCTATTTCATTTTACAGTCCATTAATGATATATCAAAATTTGAATATAATTGAATGTAAATTTGAATGTGTTTCCTAACCTCAACCTTATACAACGGGGTAAAGTAACATTTTATATTTTTTAATTTTTTCTTTAATTTAATTATATTTTATGACCGTTTAAAACCTTATAGACTCCTGACGATGGCCTAGGCCGAAACCGGTAGAGTTAATAAATTTATATAATATATTGGAGTATAAACATTGTTTATTTTTTAAAAAAACATATAATATACCAATATGGATGAAAATCCATTTACCTATTGTTTTTTTATAAAGTTGATACCTACCAAGATATATACTATATTCCATATATAATGGGCACCCTGTATGTTCCATCATAGTATGTATGGTTATCACCATAGCAACATTAACTTTTAGATACATACATTAGATTTAGATGGAACAAAATGAATTTTTGTTAATTATTCAATAACTATAAGAAATATACCCCACAAACTACATACAGGATGTTCCGAAACTCAACGTCAAGCGGGCACCGGGTGAGAGACCAACTCATACCTGTTCTGGTAAAAATAAGCAAAAAATTCTATGCCCCTCAGTTAAGTGGTAATAGACATATTTTTGAAAATGTTAAAAATCGTTCCCGAACATCATATCTTTTGGTACTACGGTCAGAAATGTTCGTAATTTAATAGTGATTTTTTTAATAATGTATTCCTCATGAACCATGCTACTATAGCAGTGCCAAATCGAACAACAAAAGTCGTTAGTTTTGCAAGAAAAAGTATGAGTTTGATTGAGTTAAGGTTGAAAGAATTTATGTCTATTAAGTTTGACAGATGATTTCTAAACAAAGGACTAGTACAACACCCTTGGCAAGTTATTTTAAAAGATGGCCTGTTTAGGCAAGATTCCAAAATGGTGTAACACTTACCATTTTTCTTTTCCTAAAAAATATTATTGCTTGTTTTTCTGCCAAAAACGCGTTATTTAAAAAATTTATACTTTCGTATGTTATTTGTATTTCCTCCAAAATGATTTAACAACCTTGTTAGAAGATGTGCCACTCAATATCTACAGAGAAATGTGGTTTCAACAAGATGGTTGCCCAGCTCATTAGGCTTGTCCTGTACGGGATTGCATACAGAATACCCAGAAAGATGGATTTGGCGTCCTGGCTCGATTACGTGGCCTCCTCACTCTCTGGGACTAAATCCCCTTGATTTTCTGAAACAGTGTATTAAAAACCGATTGAAAATCTTGCCGAACTGCGCCACTATATTTATACAGCAGCGGAAGAATTAAATGCAAAGAGATTTGCACAACTAGTAAAAAGATCTTTTCTGTGACGATGCAGAGCTTGTATTAGTGCCGACGGCAAATAATTTGAGTATTTGCCTTAGTTTTAAGAAAATAATGCAATCCTGTACATTTGTTATCAGAAGAAAATAACAAATTATTTTAGGTCATAGCCAACTAAGGTTTCCATTTAAAAATATAAAGTTACTTCTAAAATCTTGAAAATAAGAAATGGGAAAAAAATCTACCTACGCCACTGAATTCTTCATAAAAAGTTGCCCATATAATGTTTTATTGATAATACTCCATCTTTGATAATAAGTGAGATATTCGCGATTGTCGTTTTCGCAAAATTTTCAGTTTTTGCCGATAGGGCGAGTTTCGGAGATAGAATATGCGGACATCGAAATTGGGACACCTGTATATAACTAAACATGAACTATAACTGATAGCAGAGCGTGGTTGAAAAGAGTTTTTCTAAAGAACTTTATTGTCTCTCACAAAACACGACGTACCTAAATTTTAAGTAATTAGTTTAAGTAAACTAGTCTTTTACCAAGCAGGGCGAACCCCAAAAAATGACAATTAATATCGAAAAAAATTTACATTTTAAAAGAGTCGTTTCACCTATTCGGGGACACACTGTATATTCAGACATGGCCGTGATAACAAAAAACGCTATACGATTATACAACCAATTTAACATGTTTACAATTGTGGTAAACTAATATTTAAAACTTACACAAACACTGCAAAAAAAGATATTTAGAAGATTTAAGGTCCAATTTATTATCTGCTTTACTGTAACGACGATTCAAATTCTTGTCTAAACCCATTCCATTTGATATGAAATTACATTGTCAACAAAATTAGGTTATCTTTTTATTACACACAACGTTCTCTTCTATTTGGTTACATTTTACATTGTACATATTACATACAACGCAAAATTAATTAAAACTTAATATGTTAACGTTTAAAACATTAACAAAGTCTTATCAAGCCATTACGTCGGGAAGTTTTGCAGCAGCTGGAAGTATATTTGGAAAATTGACAGGACATGAATATTTTGAGGTTAAAATTGTTTTGATATTTATATAACCTAACATATTATAGTTATTTTATAATAATTTTATTGCAGGGTAATATTTTATTAAAATTAATTTGTTTTATATTAATGTTAATATGCAATGCATGTGTTTGGACGTTTTTTGTAAAAGCTTTACAAAATTGTAAATCTTCGCTATCAGCAACTTTAATAAGTACTTCAACAAATTATATTGTTACAGTAAGGATACATTTATATTAATATAACATTTATTGATGTCTTATTCACAGGCTTTATTTGGCTTTTTAATATTCGAAGAAGTAACATCAATTTTATGGTGGTTTGGATCATCTCTAGTTGTTTTAGGTTTGATATTAATAGTTCATGATCAAGAAAAGGTAAAAGCAGGTTAATCAAATATCTTAAAGAACTTTTTATATTTTTATTTATCCCATTTTCATTGAAAACATTCACATGTTGGTTACATTATAAATTAAAACCAAATTTTTATATTTAATAAAATGTACATAAATTATCAGCCTTTAATTAAAAATAAGAAATATTAATTATTTTAATTCATTATCAATATCATCAATGTGTTTGATTATATTGTTTAAAACAGATTGTGCTTTGTGACGCTTTGATATTAATATTTCATCTGCAAGTAATCCCATTTGGAATCTGTTGTCATAAGTTAAAATAGACAAACCAATACCTGTAAAATAAACGAAAATGGATGGGTTAAATTTTTAAAAAGCAAATTCTGTTTTATTTAAGTACCTATACTTCGCACTGGTGGAACCCAAAATACAATATCTTTCACTTTATATCCTTTAATGTGCACGCCTTCTATTCCTGGTAAATTACTGAAAGATGTAGTTACTGTTTCGTTTAATTTCATAATCAAATTTAAAACTGGAGCAGGAAGTAGATTTGTGAAAAATTTTAATTGCCAATAATAAAGCTGTAAGAAAACAATGAGTTTATAAACTTTAAGGATTCTTTCTTTAGACAAGGCATTATTAAGGATAATGAAAATGTAAGAGAATGAAACGTAGCAAAATTTTCGAGTTAATATTTCATTTGTTACACTTCCAACTCAAAAAAAGGAAATTCAGCCTAAAGATCGCATTAGCAATACCGTTCTTACATTTTCAATAAAGATGTGTTCAAAAGAGAGCATTGCAAATAAATTAAAGACTTATTGTTAGTTGAAAAAACATTTTAAAATATTAAATAATGTTCTAAAGCTACACTATTTCCAGTGGAAATTGCTTTAACCTAACAGAAATCTCGTTCGAAAATGTGCACTTTGAATTAAAAAAGTATTGCTTATACAGTATGTCCCCGGATTGAGTTACAAAGAGGAAAAAAAATTTGATTACTGATTTTTCAAACTTATCTCAGCATAAATAATGTTCAAACTACTAAATCGCACGAATTTTATACTCTAACTATAGAAGTTAACTAATTATTCCTATTTTTATGTAAATATTGGACTTTTTTCTAAATTGAAAATTTTTCAAGTTTAATTTATGATATGTAACCATAGAAACCATAAAAGTTAGAACTTATGTTAGTGAGATAGTCTTTTCGTGCGATGTTAACCGTGAAAGAGAGAATTTATTTAGTACAGTGCTATGGTACTGGTGAATCATGTTTTTGTGTAGTTATACAAAAATTCCAGCAAAAATATCCGGACACAACAATATCTCATGTTGGGGCTCGCAAACTTATAAAAAAAAATTTGGAAACGGATTCTGTAGTCACCATAAAGACAAAAGCAGATTACTCCAAAAACAGATATGGAATTCTCCTTGTTAAATTCCCTAGAAAAGAAAGAACACATTCCGCCGAAATTAAAGAAGAAATCGAACAAATAAAGGAGCAACGCACTAAAGATGAAGCTACTCTTCAGAAACAAATAGATGACCTGAGGGGCATTATAGAAGGTCTAAAAACCCAACAAAATCTTAACCCTTTAGTAACCACCAAAGTGGTGTATACCACAGACGATGGAATCAAAGATGCTTACTGAAAAGAATTTGTCCCGGTCAACTTATGAAAATAAGCAAACCAGAAATCTGAAAGTGGTCACTAAAAAGATGCATAAAAGCTGTGATGTTAATGATCAAAGATGATCTATTGGAGCGTTAGTATAAGATTTGTAAAGTAACCCAAATGTTAAAATACAAAACAAAAGAGCCTCTTCCTTTATACATCTTGGATTTTGCACCGTCAGAGGATGTAAAAAGAATCCATGATATAACAAACATATTAGGAATGCGTGTCAAAATCGAAGAGTACAGAAAGCCAAAACATATGCCCCAGTGCAAAAGGTGTCAAGGTTGGAGCCACACCAAAGCTTACTGCCACAAAAATCCGAGATGTGTTAAATGTGCTGGTGAAGACTAGACCAGCGAATGTACTAAGCCAAAGAAATCCCAGCTAAATGTTTCAACTGTGGAGAAAATCATCCAGCGCACTACCGCGGATGCATTGTGATTAAGGAACTACAAATCATCAGGAATATAATACATAATATACAGTAAATTCAAATAAAAATAAAGCCAAGCGTCTCGTATGCCGAAAAAGCGAGTGGTGAAACTGCAGAGAAAACTGTAGGTACATTAATCGATAATAAGGCTGACAGTAAATTAGATCTAATACATACTAGAAAAAATACTTCAACAAGAAGAAACAATAGAAACATTATATGCACGTCTAGATTTCAAATCAAAATGTCTAAAAAGCAGCACCTAAAAATAATGCTGTGGAATTCCAATGGTTTTTGACAGCATCAAAACACACTTAACTACTTAAATACTTAAAGAAAACAATATTGATATAGGTCTTATCACCGAAACTCACTTTACACGAGAATCGTATATAAACACCAACCATTACAATATTTATCACACAATTCACCCGAGTAATGCAGCTCGAGGTGGAAGTGCAATTATTATAAAAAAGAATGTTGACCACTATTTGAACAATACAATTAGTACTGAACAACACCAAACTACAGTGGTAAAAGTTCATACTGCTAATGGCTTAATATCTATAGGAGCAACGTACATACCACCGAGCATAATCTCAAAAGAGAAGATTATTATATTATTAAGATTGGAGGAGGCTTTAATGCAAAACATATGTCTTGGGGTTCTCGCTTGACAAATACAAACAGAAGAGAACTGAAGTGCTCTCCACTGGAAAGCCAACTTACTGGCCAACAGATAGAAGTAAAATTCCGGACCTGCTTGATTTTTTGATTACGAAAAATATATCGCTTAACTTCGTAAACATAGAAGAAGAGTTAGGGCTGGACTCAGATCACTCACCAGTAATTATTACTCTAAATAACAAAGTATGTAACAAAGAACCCTTTTTATCACTAACTAATAAACTCACTAATTGGAATCTATTTCAACAAACATTAGATAATAAAATTCATCTTAATGCTCTTATGAAAACAAACGAAGACATTGACAATGAAGTAGAAAAGTTCTTAAAAGACATACAAAACGCAGCCTGGGCCTCAACACCAATTTTAACACCAAAACCTAAATCTAATATTTATCCTAAATTCATTAGAGACAAAATTGCAGAAAAACGGAAAGCAAGAAAGAAATGGCAAATCAATAGAATTTCTAGTGATAAAACTAAATTAAATAAAATAACAGCCGAATTAAGAGCATTAACAGATAGCCACAAAGAAAATAATATTCAAAATTACTTAAAAGACCTTACTGACGATGCCAGTACTGATTATTCTCTGTGGAAGGCAACAAGAAAGCTTAAAGTTCCAAAAATACATACACCTGCAATACGAAATAATAATGAAAATTGGACTAAGAGCAATCAAAAAAAAGTTAATTTGTTTGCTGAACATCTGAAAGAAACTTTTACATCAGACAGTCCAATAACTATGCTAAATAGTGTCCCTAGCGTAATTCAAAATGATCAGCAGAGTAATATACCGTGTGTAAGAATGAAAGAACTGTATTATGAAGTACAAAAACTAAATATAAAGAAATCAATATGCTATGAACTAATTAATGGAGAAACATTGAAACATCTACCAAAACGGACGATTACAAAACTATTACACATAATTAATGTTGCTTTTAAATAGAAATACTTCCCAAGCATATGGAAAGTTGCTGAAATAATAATGATACCAAAACCTAGTAAACCCCCTACAAATGTTACATCATATAGGTCAATCTCATTATTACCCTTACTATCAAAACTGCTTGAAAAATTACTATTAAAAAGACTAAAACCTGTCATAGAAGAAAAAGCCCTAATACCAACACATCAATTTGGGTTTCGGAATAAACATGCAACAATAGACCAAGTGCATAGAATAACGAATACTATGGAAATAGCAATGGAAGAAAATAAAGTCTGCTCCGCCGTATTTTTGGATGTAGCACAAGCTTTTGACAAAGTCTGGCTAGATGGTTTAAATTACAAACGAGACCAAATACTACCATCAACTATTAAAATCGTATCTTTCTGATCGATATTTTAGAGTAAAATACGAAAACGCTTATTCACCACTACATGAAATACGAGCCGGAGTTCCTCAAGGAAGTGTGCTTGGCCCAACGCTGTACTTACTCTACACATTCGACCTTCTTCAGGTACCAGAAACTTTAACAGCTACATTCGCAGATGACACAGCGATCTTGGCTGTTGCAGAAAATGAAGTAGTTGTAGCAAATAAGTTACAATTGGCCTTAAATTCAATTTAAAATTGGACCAAACGATGACTAATAAAACTAAATACAAATAAATCGACATACACAAACTTTACTTATAAGAAAGTTAACTATGTCCCAGTACACATAAATGGCAATGCAGTCCCTTACGCCGAACCGCAAAATATGTTGGTATAACGCTGGATGCCAAATTCAAATGGAAAGCTCACGTCAAAAAAAACTTGAGGAACTTGATATCAAATTTAGACGCCTATATTGGCTTATTAGCAGAAAATAAACGCTATCACTAAGTAACAAGTTGCTAATATACAAGCAAGTATTAAAACCAAAATGGACATACGGAATCCAACTGTGGGGTTGTACCTGCAAGACAATTGCAAGGCTGATTCAAAGATTCCAGAACAAAGTACTAAGGTGCATAGTGAATGCACCCTGGTATATAGGAAACACCGACCTCCATCGCGACTTGAAAGTCATCAGAAATTACATCATTCGCATCTAAACATGACAAGAGAATGCACGATCATCCCAACATCGAGGCCATCCAGCTTCTCGACAACGAGGATGTCCTGCGTCGCCTTCAGAGGATAAAGCCGTTCGATTTAGTGACCTAGTGCCCTAGTCGATTCAAACGCGAGCAATAGTGAGGAATTAAAACAAAAACAATAATACCCTAAACGCGTGTTCCGCGTATCGCAGTGTGCGCGTTTTTGTGTTTTGGTCTTAAAACGGTAAAAATATGACAATATTTATCTATATTATGGGCAAAGCAGACTGGACCACTGGGAAAAGCCACAAAATATTAT